CTGCCATTGCCCTGCCTGGGCAGCCCTGGGCCTAATTTGTTCTCATTTACTGTAGCACCAGCAGAGAGTTTGGTTTGGGTTTTTATTCCACTGTTGATCTGATGCTTTAAGAGAGGAAAAAAAAAAATTTCCTTGGCTGTGTAAAGACCATTGATCTGTGCTGGGAAGCCACATGGACAGGGAAGGGCGTGGATAAACTGAAATTTCATTTCCAACAACTTGTTCCTGTTATTTTTACTCTTTCGGACAGGGAGAAACATGGAGCAGCAGCCTCAGTCAATGTGGTCAATAGCTCCTCTGGGAGCTGGGCGCAGCCTGGGGGGGGAAGCTCGTGGAGCTGCTAGCCCGCACAGGAGGAGGCAGCTGTGCCCAGCTGTGACAGGGGCACAGCCCCAGGGGTGTATCACTGCCAGCCCCCGTGGCACCTGCCCCTGGCTGCAGGCCTGCGGTGTGTCCCGTGGCGCGGCACCAGGGCAGCAGCACAGAGAGAAGGGAGCGCAAGCGGCTGCTGAGGCCTGGGTGTGGCACGAGGATGCCACGAGGCTCACCAGTGCCAGGATGGGAGAGGATCCCGGTGCTGGCCTTGACACTGGGGCTGGATGTGGACCTCTGCAGGGGCACGACCCAGGAGCAGCTGGCCTAGACACAGCAGCAGAGTGTGCGTTGCAGCAGGGGCAGCGGGACCAGCCAGGCCCAGACAGGGCTCTCTATGAAGGGAGGCCCCAGACTCCCCTGCAGGTAACCCAGGGCCTGCCCCGTGCCAGCAGCAGGCAACGCCGCCACGGGCGCTGCGCCGGGAGCTGCGACAGGAGCTGACAGCAGGACAGGAAGGCAAAGCTCTAGTGAGAGCCGCAGCAGGTGAAGGAATAGAGGCACCCTCAGAAAAGAGAACAAAGCCCTGCAGCAAAGCCTGTGCTGCAGGAGCGGGCAGCAAGCAGAGGTCAGCAGAAGGCAGGCAGCACCCACCAACGCCTGTCTTCCTCTGCAGCTGCACAGCCAGGCTCAGCTGTGGGAGGAGCTGGGAGCAGCAAAGCCAGCAGCATCTTAGCAGAGCCAAGGAGCTCTCACCATCCAAGAGCTGCACGAAGAAGCAGCCTCAACAGAAAGCACCTTGGCAGAGCTGTGGCAGCAGGTGAGGGCAGGGCCAGGACAGCCCCAGGATGCAGCCAGCCACCATGCAGCCCTCAGCACCAGAGCTGTTTCCACCAGCCCCTGGGGGAGCCCCAGCCTGCCCACGGTTGTGCCCTCCTGTCCCCCTCTCCTTGTCCCACCACTCTGTGTGCAGGTGCAGGACAGGGCTGTCCTGCAGGCAGAGCCGGCCCAAGCCCAGCAAGAGAAAGCCAAGCAGGAGGAGCAGAGGCAGCAGCTCCACTGGAAGCTGAGGAAGTTGCAGGAGGCGCAGGGGCAGAGCCAGCAAGAGGCAAGCGTGTCCCAAGCCTTCCCACAGAGCGCAGGGAGCCTGTGCTTGGCCTCTGTCTCTCTCACTGCCTCTGCCACCAGCAGGCCCACACCCTCCAGGAAAGGCCGCGGGAGCAGCACAGCCCAGCCCAACACTGGCAGCAGCTACAGCAGGACAGCGAGCGAGCTCTAGCGCTGAGAGAAGAGGAGCTGCTTCTCTGCAAAGCAGAACTGGCTTCCCTCAAGGAAGAACTCAGCGAGGCCATGGAGCAGGTGCAGGATAAAACAGTCAGCACCACAGCCCAGGGGCAGGGGCACAGGCTCTACCCCCAGCATTGGGGAACGACAGATCCCAGCCTACAGGCAGGGGACAGGTGGAGGACAGAACAGGGGACAGTCTACTGAAGATCCCAGACCACTAAGGGCATCTGTGGGTCTGACACAGCAGCAGGGCTGAACATCTTGTTCTCCTCAAACTAACCCTCTTTGCTCCATTGCTAGAGGGAAGCCCCTCAGCATGGAATTACCCTGGTGTGACAGAAGCTCACAGCCAGCAGTGCTGAGGTAACGGTTCTTCTCCAGAGCAGCCCTCCCAAGGCATCAGACCCTCTGCTCGGCCCCAAAGGCTGCTGCCCCAGCACAGCCTGGTTTCTCCAACTGCCTTCAGTCCTAGGCTCATAGACGTTGGGAAGAGCAGTCGCATGCTGGTTCAGACTTGGGGGGGTGTCATTCTTTCCTGGTCGAAACCTTGCACTCTTCCCACACCCTGGCATGTTCTGACAGCAGCAGGCTGCCTAAGGAGAGGGAGCTGGTGCTGGCCACCATCAGCCAGCGTGTGAAGGAGCAGATGCGAGTGAGAAGCTTCACTGGAGTAGAGTGGGGCAGGTGGCTGCTTCTCCTCACACCAACTCACGCTGTTTTCCGGCAGGCAAATGAGAAATGAGGGCACAAGATGCAGCAGCAAATCAAGCGGACCACAGATCTGACAGGCAAAAAGGAGTCAGTGGCAAGTGTGTGGAGCAGCGCTGAGCTCTCACACACAGCAGTTACTGCCCCTGGCAGCAGTGTGTGGGACAGACAGACAACTGCTGGACTACCTAAGCTCCTGCCAGGCCAGTGGATTGGGACTGTCTGCGCACCATCGCATCACCTCACCTCCCCCACCCTTCCTCCAGGTATCCTGAGGACACGCTGGGCAGGATGCAGGAGGAAAACACGTACCTCCCAGCAAGAACACGTGAGCAGCACCACAAGTGTGAGCCGCTGAAGGTGAGCCCAACTCCTGGTGCAGCCAGGCCTGGGACAGGGCTGGGCCTACGGTCTTCCATGCACAGGGTCCAGTGGGCCCCCGCAGCACAGGGGCTGTGGCAGAACTGCCTCTGCAGCAGCACAGGGCAGGACTGCACCAGGGCCAGGCTGTCAGCCCTCTTGGTTGGTGTCATTCTGTGCTTGTCCCAGGCTGGACAGGACAAGGTGACACTGCCAGCCCCACCTGACTGCAGGGCCGCCTCCACCCAGTGCTCACCCCCAGGACAAGGAGCTGCACAAAAAGCAAGGATTAGACTGACAAACTTTAAACAAATAAAAGTTTTCTCTTCTGTAGCAAAATTAGTGCCAAGCACCAAAGCCTTTCCGGGCCACAAGCTGTGGAGAGCCTCACCGAGTACAGTCACCAGAGGAGCTGGGCACTCTCCCTAGAGCTCAGCAGCTCCTGGAAGTCTTTTAAGCCTCCAAGCAACAGGCATGGCCTTCTCAGAGGCCAAAGCGGGCTGGGGTGCGTCGCGGTGTCAGAGGCTCCCCCTGCTCCTTCCGCCCAGGGGTGTAGATTTTAGTAGATCTGCCAGGAGAGGACAAGGGTGATCAGTGGAATGTGCAACCTTTCCCTGCACCAGAGCACCCAGGGGAAAGCTGGGATCCTCCACGCAGCTCACCACTCCTGCTCTTCAGCAGGCAGCCCGTGGCCAGGCAGGGCCAGCACCCACCTTGCGCTGCCCAGTGGGTTCCGTCGCTCCTGCTCCTCTCGGCGGGCACGCAGCTGCTCCTCAGCCAAAGCCATCTCCTCCTCCATGGCCGACACTTCCTCCTTGGCACGGCGACGATTCTCCTGGACAAGGCAGCAGCAGGTCAGGGACAGGCAGAGGGCTGGCCAGCAGCAGACTCTGCACGCCCACAGGCCTGTTCCCTCCATGTCCGAACACACACAGCGCTCGATGAGGCACGCAGCGGGCTGCCAGCTCATCCTGGACAGAAGGCTGCTCACCTGCCGTGACTTGCCAGCATGTTTGATACTGTAGAACATAGGGCCCAACTCTGCCAGCCACTCTCCATCCACAGCAGTGACACACTGCATGTATTCCTGCAGGGACAGAAGGAAAGACCTGGGTAGCAGGACAGTACTCTCGGGGCCTGGGCACCACTTCCAGAACCATTGCAGCTCCCTCCCTCCCTGGCTTGCCGACGGCACTTCTCAGGCAGGGACTACACCCCTTCTGGAACATCCCTCCTGGCCTCAGAAGCTGCTACGGGCTCGACTTGGAGAGACCACAAAGAGGTTCAAATATGTCTCACATAGGCCAGGAAAATATATTGGGAAAGGGACAAAGAGGACTCTGCAGAGGACACAAACATGCCTAGCTGGCACAGACAAGAAAGGCCGAGCAGTACCCTTCTGGTAGATACTGCGTCACAGCAAAGCCCTCCCATCTCCCTTAGGGCGCTCCTCGCCCTCCCCACCATCCCTCAGGCTCAAGCTCACCTTGGTGGTCATGACCAGCTCGTGGTACACAATGTAGTCCGGCGTGTACCCCATGCCAAAGAGAGAGCTGGTGGGGTGCAGGTGGCAGGGCATGCCCGTGCGGATGTTCACGTACTCCCCGATGCCCTGCGGGGGAAGTGCCGTTAGTCCGCCCGCTCCCGATGCCCTCCGGCCCGCCCCGGGCACAGACCCGGCTCACCTTCAGCTTCGCGGCCTGGTGGAAGTAGGCGGCGCAGATGCACTTCCTGACGATGTCCCAGTCGGTGCCGCAGGAGGCCAGGCTCATCCGCTGCTGCACCATGATGTCCTTCAGCTGGGCACGCACCTCCCGCACCTGCCAGGCACATGGCGTCGGACCCGCCCCGCC